GAAACAATTCCAATCTGTTTTCTTTTCTTTTTTTTTTAGTTTTAAATCCCATTTTGTTTGACACTAGCATTGTCTTAAATTCCGGTTTTTAGTGTAAAAAAGTTTTAGTGTTTTAGCGTTTTTAGCGTTTCCGGTTTTTTTTTTCACATTTTTAGCGTTGATATTTTCATATATGTTCATCATAACGGTTATTGGTAATTGATCAAGGAAAAAAAAAAAGAAAATCCATGTATAAATAATAAATTCAATCTACAATTTACTGTAACAAAATGAAACAATGTTATGTCATTTTATTTTTGAAATATTTCAAAAGACTTTCTGTTTTTCTTTTTTTTCTTTTCCGGTATTCATTTTCCGTCATTCTCGTCTGATTTTCGTTCATTACCGTAAGAGAGAAAAAAAAAGAAGTATTGTGAGAAAGGGGAAAAAAAAATTACCGAATAATTGAGGAAACAGTAATGTCTGCTCCAATCTGAGACGAATCATGTCGAAGAAAATATTTGTATAAGCTTTATATTACGGAAAGGAAATAAACCAATCAAAAAAGTTGAAAAAAAAAAACGGAAAAAAAAAACTTTTTTTTTTTTGCAACAATTAGCAGATAAAAGTAATAGGATTGAGATGAGAAGCATTACTTTCCTTTTCCGGTTTTTATAATCACTCAAGAATTGTTTAATTAATTTTTTCTTTTTCTTTTTTACAAGACTTCTTGTGATAATCATTATTGATTATCGTCTGAATATTTTGAAAAAAAAAAATCATGGTATGGTAATATCATGGTATGGTAAAGCATATGATATGGTAATATCGTATCAGCTATTGTTTAGTAATAAATCTAGCATAAAACTGTCATAATCAATAGATGATAGATGGGAAATGTAATCGGTCTTAGAATATGGTCTAGTCAAAAATAAAAAGTAAGAAATAAAAAACCGCAGTTCTGAATGAAGAAGAGGAATAATTATAGATCTAAATGTTACACTAATATTAATTATCAAACAAATTAACATAAAAATGATTTAGCTAAGTTAGGCTTATAAACCAATAAGAATATAGCTTAATGGATCGGATGACAGTAATACGTAACATTTGTTAATTTATAAATAAATGCCAATTGTTTATGGTAAATTTTTTATCAGAAATAACTGATAATTAAGATTGTGAAGCAATCAGTGGTCGATCTTTTTCTTTTGCTTTTGACTATATCAACAGATGAATGCATTTTTTTTTTTTACTTATTGATAATTTATTCCATATCAAATCATTATATTGCTAAAATCCAAAAGTTGATAAGCAAATTCATTATCACCATTGATGCTGTGATAATGAATCTGTTATCTTTTAATTAATAAAAAATTGAATGATAGAAATTGGTTTCTTTCTATTTCTCTTTTTATGCAATTTTGTTTTTCATATGAATTTCTTGTTTCAATCAAAAATTATCATTTAAATTGCTAATTTCAATATTTGCATGCATGTCTAGAATTTATCAATTGCCAATGATAATGCTTTAGTATGAATTTTGATAGGACACATAACTTTCACCAATTACTGTTACTTTCGAGATTTTAATTTAATTTTCGAGAAGTTTCAAATATGCAAACATAGCCATAATTGAATTCATTCAAGAAATTTTATTTGAACAACAAATACGATCGTTTTTTTTTAAGAAATTTTTTAGAGTGCTTCTTCATATTACATTTTTTTTTTCATCTTCTAAATATTTTTTTAATTAATTTCAGATAAAAGTAATGAAATAAATTTAGAATCGAAATAATGAAATGAAGATTGATCGAATTGGTTGAGATTTTTTTTTTTCGCTCAACGATACTTAACAAAAGTACAAGAAAAGTTTGGAAGATATATTTACCAAAATAAATTTAAGCATATCTTTGAAGTATATAATTAAACTGCAAAAAATTTTATTCATTTATTTAATTAAATTCCATTTTCATTGGACATTTATCAGTTAATTGCTGTAAATTAAATGAAAATGTATTACAATTTGTAATTGCAATTCTTTTTTTTTTT